CCCTTCTTTCGCCATGCACAAAAGTTAACTCAAAATGGATCAAAGAGCTTGATATCAAATCAGAGACTCTGCGTCTGATAGAAGAAAAAGTTGGCTCCGATCTACATATTGTGGGGTCTGGCTCCAAATTCCTTAATAGGACACCCATAGCACAGAGTTAATTTTTTTCAATGGCAATGATGATGAGGTCCTATTCCTACTAATCATAGAATTCAATCAAGGGTCGATGCCTGGCCCTCTTCTCTGTATTAAAATGCAAGTAACTCTAGGGATCAGACTAGTATTCATACTAAATGAGACAGGCTAAATGATATAGGAAGAGATTGGTGAGCAGTGTAGATTAGAAAGGTTGTGTGTTCTAACCACTCCTTAGCTGTAATTGATTATTGCTGTGCGTAATGTGGTCTGAGTAACAATAGTCCATACCATTTTTTTTAAATGAAAAGCATAGAAGCTGGATTTTATCCAAAATATCCCAATTTTTAAATATTGTCTCAAATTTTTTGACCCAAAAGATCACAGTGCAGACCAAAAAGATCACTGCTGTAGACTACCAGGTGACATCCTGTGCCTTTCAATCATGTACCTTTCAATCCATGGACATCTGATCCCCTTCCTCCTGATAATATTTATGAGAATGTTAAAAGACTGGTGTCTGTATAAGAAGAAAGAGTCAATATTTATTTCCCAAATAAGTAATATATTGTATTTAGTAAACATGTTAAAGAACTATGCACTGAGTTCTGTTTTATTGGTGCTTTTATAAGGATCAAAAAGGATGATCAGAATGATGACCCATTTGTGCTGTTTATTGAATCTCATAGTGAATTGTTTGCTTATATATTTTATTATTTTGGATTGTGAATTTACCTTCAGTTGGGTTTTTATCTTCAAATTCTTATAGTGCTCTATTAAGGAAGAGTTTCTCTAAAGTGATTTTGCTTTTATTTCTGCCAGGTGCCCTAAAGGCTTTTCTATCCCAAAGCCACTTTTATGTTAATTTCATTGCTTATAGGCTCTTGGATTATTTGGGCAATTTAAATTTGAATTGCAAGTTCATTACTCTCCCAACAAGGTATCTTTTTTCTTCCCATCAAAAGTAAAGGTCTTGCTCCTGTGAACAAAAAAATTAATAATAAAAGAGCTTTCTTAACTCTAAATGGAGTCATTTTCTTGCTCCTATGTTGGTAAGTGTGTTTCTTCCAATACACCCTTTCTCTAGAGGAATGCTCTTCTAGGATCCAAAACTTTTTTTTTTTTTTTTTTTTTAAGAGTGAGAGAGGGAGAGAGGAGAGAGAATTTTAATATTTATTTATTTATTTATTTTTAAAATTTTATCTGTGGACACAACATCTTTGTTTGTATGTGGTGCTGAGGATTGAACCCGGGCTGCACGCATGCCAGGCGAGCGCACTACCGCTTGAGCCACATCTCCAGCCCAGATCCAAAACTTTAAATGGAAGTTTAAGTTCTCCCTACCTGCTTTCTGTGGGCCTAAGACCTCATCTCTTGCATGCACATTAAGAACCTGGATGGTTTGGATGGAAGCAAAACCCAGGATTCATTCAGCATCATCCCACATACCTAGAGTCCTACTTTTTCAGTTCTAGTTCTATTTTTGGAATCTGAGATATTTTATTATGTTCCTTTGAGCTAAGCTATGCATTGGAAAGGGTATTACTTGTATTTTCCCCAAAGCTTCTGGATGTTTTGTAATGATAATTTTCACAATTATGAAAACAGAACTGTTGACTACTTTTTTATTGACATTCTTAAGTCTTACAAGACTTTAAAATACAAAAGGAATTGAATCATAGTTTTTAAAAAAAAGATAATAATGCAGCTTTCTTATCTCTAAATGGGATAAGAGATGAACACTTTCATGTTTGAAAGGAAGATCTTGTCATTTCTGGGGTTCATCTTTAGAGGTCTGTGTGTATTCATCTATAAAAAACTGTAAACCATCATCAGAAATAAATCATTGATCTTGGGAAAAAATTATCAGTTCTGGATTTACAGTATGGAATAAATAATGTATCAAGAGCATACAATTTATTGTCATAGTTTATTTAAAGTTCCATAACTATTTAGTACAGCTTTTTTTCGGATAATAGGCTTGATGCTTCACCTATTTTTTAAGGGATGAGGAATAAGTCTTAAAATGATATGCTTTTGTTCTGTTAAGACTTAATTGATTCTCATTTGCTCTTTCAGTGAAAAGAGGCTGAAGTATGACCACTACTTAGTGCCATTCACTCTGTTTGAGTTGGCATTTTTATATAAAAGCCAAGGGGAAATTGACAAGGCCATAAAATTCCTAGAAACTGCAAGGTAAGTGATGAAGGTAGCTCTTCTTTGATTGCTGTGTAGTTAGAAATGTCAACACCATTACAACTAAAATCAGCAGCAGTGGCCTCAGACACTTAAAGATTAATAAAGTCATGAAGAATTAGTAATAATATTACTTCTGCAAATTAGCAATAATATTGCTTTTGCTGTCTTATGCATTATGTTCATGCTTTTGCTATAATTGTGCTGTTCCCCATGCCTCACCCTGTTGCTTCTTATAGATGTGATTGTAGGTATCTGTCTCAGCGATTGCTAAATTACTGTTCTCTAAATCAGAAGTTGGAAGATTTTTATGTAAGTGGCCAAATAGTATTTTTGGCTCTATGGTGTAAGGTCTTCATTGAAACTACTCAGTTATATTAAAAATAGTCATAGAATATGATATGTAAATAAATGGATGTGTTCATATTTGAATGTTGGGTCGTAATTTGATGACCAATAGATAAAGTCATTTAAGTCATAACTATCATTTCCTTGATGAGCAACTAATCACATGAAGTTCTTTGATCTCCACCATAGTAGTTCTGAAGTATTTTTTCTTTTTATCATTTGAGCTAGACAATGACTCTTAAACTTGTGATCTTGGTCCCCTTATTTAAGGCAAAACCTTATAGTCTGTTTGCCTTGAGCATTTTGTGCCATGGAGAAGGAATGCCATAACAGCTGTAGGTCACAAATAGCCTGGGGTTTGTTGGTTCATTAATTTCTTTAAATTCAGCAAATATTGACTGAACACCTACTAAGTACCTACTAAGTACTGGTAAAAGTGCTAGAGAGACCTAGCTACAAACTATATAGGCAATGTTTCTACTTCCTTAGCTGGAGGGAGATATTAGATTAAACAATCAAGTGAGAAAAATACTAATGATATTTTTTTTTCCTGAAGTTTACAATATGATACAGGGTACTCAGATATTATTTTAGATTTTATTGTTTCTGGAAGATTTCCTTGAGGAGGTGATACTGTAATTGACATTTGTATAATTAGAGCAAGTTTTGAGAAAATCAGTCACATGAAATCACCAGAAGACTGGGCAGGAAGCATTTTTGGCAGAAGCCATAGGGGAGTTAAACTAGGTCATCAGTGATGGTTTTACTGAGATGGGGAATAGTTAGAAGAACAGGTTTGGGGAAAGAAACATACTTCTTTTGGGACCATAATACTTGGAGATGGCTGTTGAATTTCCCAGGTAGAGATATTGAGTTGGTAGTCAGATATGTAAGCATGGGTTCTCTGGTAATCAGAGCTAAATGTGGAGATTCCAAAGTCAAGATGGCACAAGATGGCAATATTTAAAGCCATCGTACTTGATAAGTTCATTTTGGGAAAGTTGCAGAGCAAGGATGGAAGTCTATCGTGGTGCCTGGGATATGCCTTCATTTTAGAGATGAACCAATAAAATTAAGAAGATTAAGATTTTAATATGAGTTAGAAAGACATCTAGGAAACCCAAGTGCTTGAAAAAAAAAAATACAAATAGTCAATTCATGAGAGCAGCTGCTGAGAGGTCAAGCAACATAAGACCAAAGAAGGCCTGTCGAACTTGGCAGCATGATCATTAGTGACCTTGACAAGTGAGGTGAAAATGAAACAGAGTCGGGCTGGGGCTGGAGCTCAGTGGTAGAGCACTCGCCTAGCACATGCAGGCCCTAGGTTTGTTCCTCAGCACCACATAAAAATAAATAAATAAAATAAAGAGATTGTGTCCAACTACAACTAAAAAATAAATATTAAAAAAAGAGAAAGAAACAGCTATTGGAGGCAAGGATTTTCAATGTTTGCAAGCATTTTCTAAAAATATTTAGAGCACAGTAATAGGACAGAAGACCAGGACTTAGGGTAGCCAAGACGGACTTCTGATTAAAAAAAGAAAAAAAAAAAAGGTTTATGTGAAAACAAGTCACTTTTAATCTGTTGAGCTGGAAATGTTGCTCAGATGTGGCATGAGGCCATGGGTTTCATCCCTAGTACTGCCTTTCTCCTCCATCCCCGACCCCCATCCCCAATTGTTGAGAGTATGATTAGACTACAAAAACTGTTGTTTCAAATATTTATTGTTTGGGTATATTTACTACTATGTAGTGTATAGTAAAAAAATTTTATAATGATGACAGTGGAAGACAAGAAAGTCCAGGAGTCCAGACTACACTTCACTTCTAAAAAGCAACCAAAAGCTACCACTAATGTCATACAGTACTGATGATAACACATTCCCTAGTAATTTTAAGACTTTCAATTAATTTCAGTTTTCTTTATGTAGTAGGAGCTCTGCAAAGTTGCCAAAAGTGGTGGCCAGACATTTAGGAATATAGTCAGGTACATCCTTTGATACACTCTGGTAAGATGTTGGTTTTAGTTTATAAATAATACATTTTATTAACCCTTAGCAAAGTTACCACCAAGCAGCCCTTAGATGTGTATAAAGTGAAAAGCTATAGAAATAAGTGCTATAGAAATAAGGCAACGTATAAAAGTAGGAGACTAAAGTTGAAGTTATTCCATTTTGTTGTTTCTTAACAGTTGTAGCAAAGGGAGGTTAACAAGAATGATCTGTCAAGTCTTAAAGTAATCTTTGCATTTTGATGGCCCTTCTGACATTGGTCTGATTATTATTTATTTTTAAAAAAATTTTTTTTTGAGAGAGAGAGAGAGAGAGAGAGAGAATTTTTTAATATTTATTTTTTAGTTTTCGGCGGACACATCTTTGTTTGTATGTGGTACTGAGGATCGAACCCGGCCACATGCATACCAGGCTAGCGCGCTACGGCTTGAGCCACATCCTCAGCCCCCTGATTATTATTTAATTATTGGACAAATCATTGATATTTGCTCATTAGAATTAGAATAAGTAATTTTGGTAGTACTAAGGAATGCTGCTGTCTTTGTTGCAGGTCTTTCTTTCTAGTGGTTGATGATGTTTACCATGTTTATATGAGCCTACCTTTACATTTTCCAAATTAAAAAAAGGAAGTCAAACTATTTAGGAGTAGTTCACCAAATTTGTTAGGTCCTCCTCAAAACCTTCTTGCTGGGTTTGTGAATGGTTTGGTAATTAAGTAGAATTTTGCTACTGAAAGTATGACTGTAAATCACCACCAGGAAGCTTCTGCAAAAACAGACTTGCTATCCCCACCCCTACCTCCAGGCAGAATCTGCATTTTGCTGTGATGCTCGGTTTCGCCTATTAAAGTTTGAAAGTAAATAGCATATTGGGGAGTGGGATACAAAGAATTTCTATCCTTTGGAATACAAAGAAATTTTGACTGTATAATTTTATTGTTATCTTCAGAAACAACTACAAAGATTACTCCTTGGAGTCCAGACTACATTTCAGAATTCAGGCAGCTCTTCACCTCTGGAAAAAGCCCTCCTCGGAATGATCAGGACACAGATGATGGAATTCCCCCCAAATAGCATCGGCATCTGCTGTAGATTAGACCTTGTTATAAAGTGAGAAAGTGATCTTGTGAATAAGAGATGGAAAATTTATTTTACTGTCAATATTTTCTATCATCTGAATGGTTTACTGTTAGTCTCCATAAAAATGTTTTTATTTTTCTTCCTGTGGAATAACATTCAATAATAGCTAGAAAATTCTTATACTTTGCCTCTCCAAAAAGAATTTCACATTAGGTTTTAATTGGGGGGTGAAGAGTCTTTTTTTAGAGACTCATAGGTACAATAAAGACTAATTAGATTATTTATTTTTTTAATGTGGAAATTAATATTGTTTAGCAAATAACTTACAAGTTGAGCCATTTTTAGATTTGTTGTTGGTCAGTTAAGCTTAGAGATATTTTGTTGCCTAGTATTTAAATCTCAGAGGAGAAATAAATATTGCATTAGATAATTTAATGAACTTCTGAAGACTGAGAAAGACAGGCAGAGGCATAAACTTGGTTGGGATAATTACTTTGTGTTTTAAAGAGACTTGTACCTATAAAAGATTATGAAACTCCAAGTTATTGGGGTTTTACTCCTCTTATTGGTTAAAAGTTGAGAGACTCTGCTGGTTTTGAATGAATGTACTTAAGTCTATCATAAAAACAAAATTTTTTAAAGCTTGTGTATATAAAGGGAAGAAAAAGTCATATTTTAGAAATTATCCTTAACCTTAGTGATAAAGCCTAAAATGTAAACATTGATTATTTTTCTTATAGGAAGCAAAGTTCTTTCAGCTTTAAATGATATATAAAAATCAATAATTTTTACACTTACAATGATAAGATCTCATTTTCTAATCTCTCTAGCACTGTGATGGTTCCTTATAAATATTTGGACTGTGCTTAATCCTTTAATTGAGAAATAGGATCAAGGCAAGGAGTAGGGAAAATGCTGTAATCCTGGCTCTGCGATTGATGAACAGTTTAACAGGTGACCTTTAGGAAGTCCCTGCTCCCTGTACATCACCATGGTTTCTTCATCTATGATATGGAAAAAGGAACAGATGACTTAAAGGTCTCTTTCAGCTTTATAACTGTGTAACAGTATATTAGGTATTTTTTTTCGTCAGATGTTAAATGTTTTCATCCAAACCATTCCCACCTACAGCATGTTTTATTTTTCAGTCATCACCATTCCTTGCCCATATGTATGTGTTGTGGCTAAGGACCAGCTTTCATCTAGAATGAAGAAAAGCAGTTCATGAATCTATGAGTCTGGGTTTCGTTCCATTTCTTTTTTGAATAAGGGAGCTTGTCCTGGAAACCTCTTCATTTTCACAGAAAGAGCCTCAGATTGGGAGTCCTTTTCTGTTGGTTAATCATGCCATGATATTGGAGAAAGTGGCTTATACTTTCTGGGACTCAGTTTTCCCAGTGGGAATAGCAAAGTAGTACTTGGTGCTTCTGAGGACTTAATTAGATAATGCTTATGGAAGCATTTTGTAAACCCTGAAAGGCTATATGAATATGAGTAGTTGTAATAATTATGGTTTTTAATGCACTGATTATAGTGTAAACAAAAATATTGGCTGAGTCTATGGTCTCTGCTGTAAAATGAAAGAAGTATGGAAATTTGAAAACCATTAAATTTATTCATGCATTTAGCACTGATAGTAGCCCATATAATGAATTTCTTCCTAGCTCTCCCCTGTTACAGAACTCTTTCCCTAGCAGGAATTTGGTGATGTTTTCTTTAAGGTGCAAATTCTTGACCAATGAAGATGTTATTTCCAATGGAAGATAATTAATACAAGTCAAGTCAGAATACTGCTTCTTTAGATAGTATGGTAGCAGATATCAATATGTGCTATCAATATAAATTATATAATTACTTTAGGTACAGACTGAAAAGGAAATAAATCAACTCATTATTTACTATAATTAGTAGTAAAAAACATGTTCATTAATTATTTTACTTTGAAAAAAGTTTATAAATTCTTTAGGAGAGCTTTGGTAGCAATATACTCTTATTTTTGTGAGAAGCTGCAAGTCAATAAAAAATATTCTTCTGGTATAAAATGAAGAAATCTTAATCTAACAGTGGCTATTTTAATTGTAGCTACATTATCAAATACAAAAGAAATTCATCTGTCCCAATTAAAATTTTCCTGCTATTTTCTTTCTTTTTATATTTTCTATCTAGTGCTTTCATAATGAAGTACTATAATAGCATTAGTTCTGCTATATTTGTTTTCTTTCATGCCTAAGATTTTGTGCTGGCACCAATTTCTTGACATCAGCTGATATTGTATTTTTGGAGTTATTTTGTAATTCAGGGTGTTATATGAAGTGACATTGCTTAATCTTTTGAGAGGCATGTGTGACGACATTGAATTTCTGATGTGTCTGACAATGTAATTTATGTAATACCTCATAAAATTGCCTTTTTTCCCCTTTTTAATGGAGAGGGAGTGTTCTGAGTGGTGAATTGTAAATTTTTAAAATTTGTTCTAATTAGTTATACATGACAGTAGAATGCAGTTTGACACATCATACATAAATGGACTATATATACCTTCTTATTCTTTTCATTGTACATGATGTAGAATCACACTAGTCACGTAGTCATATATGCACATAGAATAATAATGTCCAATTCATTCTACTATTCTGCCTACCCCCAATGCTCCCTTCCCTTCCCTCCCCTCACTACCCTCTGCCTAATCCAAAGTACCTCTATTTTTCCCAAGATCCTCTCTCCTTCTTGTGAATTAGCATCTGCATATCAGAGAAAACATTCTGCCTTTGGTTTTTGGGGATTGGCTTATTTTGATTAGCTTGATATTCTCTGGCACCATCCATTTACCAGCAAATGCCATCAATTTTTTTTCTGTTTTTTGTTTTTGGTACCGGGGACTGAACTCAGGGGTATTCAACAACTGAGCCACATCCCCAGCCCTATTTTGCATTTTATTTAGAGACAGAGTCTCACTGAATTGCTTAGTGCTTCACTTTTGCTCAGGCTGGCTTTGAACTCAAGATACTCCTGCCACAGTCTCCCAGCCACTGGGATTGCAGGCATGCATCACCACTCCCGGCTTAATGCCATCATTTCATTCTTCTTCATTAAGGCTGAGTAATATTCCATTGTGATATGTACTACATTTTCTTTATCCATTTATCTGTTGAAGGGCATCTAGGTTGGTTATTGTGAGTTGATCTGCTTTAAACATTGACATGGCTGTGTCACTCTAGTATGCTGATTTTAAGTCTTTTTTTTTGGGGGGGTAATATTTATTTATTTATTTATTTTGATTTTAAGTCTTTTGGGTATAAGCCAAGGAATGGGATAGCTGGGTCAAGTGGTTTCATTCCAAATTTTCTGAGGAGTCTCCATACCGCTTTTCATATGGTTCCAACCAAGTTGAAGTTCCACCAGCAATATATGAGTGTATCTTTTCCCCCACATCCTCACCAACATTTATTGTTGCTTGTATCCTTGATAATTGCCATTCTGACTAGAGTGAGATGCATTGTATATTTAAGTAAATTTTTTGTTTCATTGGATTGGTGACAAGGCACCATTTCCATTTGGCATTTAATGATAGATTATGTTGGCTCTTGACATTTTCTATACCCAGAGATATAAGTAGGTCCCAAGTTGTTTAGAATAAAAAGTTCATTGATTTTTCCTTCAGAGGACAGAGATGAGACAAAGTGGATAGAAGCTGTAAGGAGGTGAATTCTAGATTAATCAGTGTTAAGAAATATTTTTAATCATTAGAATGTTCCAACAGTCTTAGTCTAACTAGCTCTTTGGCATTGGGGTGAGTTTAGTAGTGCTATATGACTATAATTCCTACCTGGCATCAGTGCTTGGGCTAGTTGAATTTGAGGTCACTCTATGAGTCTTTGATCAGAGTTTCAAATCAGAGAGGTTTTGGGTATAAAGAAGAAAATGCCCCTTTAAATAAAAGTGAATGTTTCTTCTTTCAAAGGTCCTTACATTGTGATAGGCACCAACAGTATCTGCTATTGATACTCATTATGATTCTATTTCTGTCCCTTCAAAACTATTGAAGCTATTGATCTTTGTGAATAGAGGTATTTCCCCCCTTCAATGGTAAAAGCAGTAATTAAAATGTGGTCTTTATGACCAACTGGAAATTTTTCTGTAAATGATTAATTTTTTATTTATTAATTTTTTACTCTTTTTCTTTCTAGTGGGACTATCCATATTCATAAATCTTAAATATATTTAGTTAAAATGAATTAATGAAGACTCCTAGCAATTGTTTTTGAAACCCTAAGATTTTACTTTTCATTGGCCCTGGAATGGATCTGGGGACATTACCTTATCCTTTCCAGCTTTTCAACTGTAGTGGTTCTCCTTTCATACTGTTTTGTCTGGTATAATCTCTACTTGCCACCTTGTGGCCATTGAACCGTTGAAATGTCCAAGCTACACAGGATTATGCTGATTGTCACAGGCGCCTTCCTTCATATATGCTGCAGTTTTGTCTAAAGAATCCCAGGATCCTGCTTCCTGGCATTCTGGCTTTTGCTTGCTGTCTACTGTGACCACTTAGTCGCCACAGTTGCATCAGGAATTGTGTTGCAAATATCTGTGAGTTCACTTCTTCTGTTGAAGTGCCCTTAAACCTTCATTTTACTGTGTTCGTTCTTCAGATGTTCCAGGTCATTGGCATGTTTGAACGTTAGTCTCACCCCTTCCGACCCCTGCTGAGCTTATATACAAATTAAAAGTTCTTATTTTTTTAAAGTTACTGTTTTAATATGATTTTATAGACATTCCTTGATTTTCCACAAAGTGCAGCTTTTAGAATTATAGGAGAGTGAGTGACTGTCACCATTGAAATGTTAGTAGATTTCATGCGTAAAATAATAACTTATAAGATAGCATTATTCTGAAAAAATTTAGTGAACTCTTTTTAATCCCTTAAGTAGTGTTTCAACATTGACTCTCTCAACTAGCCCAATCTTACTCTTTCAAGTTTTTAGATACAAGTTAACCACTTAGAATAATTTGGCAGATTGAAATTTAAAGTTATATATAAATGCCTTTTGCCGCCTATTATTATTTTGAATGTATATAATACTTAAGCGATGTGCATGGCATATTTTTAATGTCTAGACATTTCTTGATTATATAAGTCTATTGATTGCTAGACAAAACAACTTACTAGTATATAGACGATGTTTATATTGTCAGGAGTGCAGGGTTTTCTCTAAATTGTTCTTTCTCCCCTATTATTTACATTTTTTTTTTAAGTATAGGAGTTTGTTCTATAACCCTTTTGCTGCTTCCCTTGTTGGTGGTTTTCTCTTTTGTGCATTTACTGTTGGATTTAGTAATGTTAAGCTTGAAATATAATGAAAAGACATCAGAATTTATCATATCATTTGGGTTGAGCAGTTTTGTCTGATCTTGACAGACTCCCTTCCTACGAGGGAATTGTTGAAATCCATTCCAGTCTGTTTGTAAAACTTCGTCACTATAGAAAGAAATGTAAGAACAATTCCGTATGTTGGGATAGTTGAGCAGGTTCTTGGCTGAGCCATTCAGAAGGCTATGTGGATCTAGCTTCAAGGAAGTCCAAGCCCCATTCCCTCCTGTCTTCAGTGTACCTGTGACATGTGTTAACATACTAATAATACTGTGACAGGACTTTGCATGGGAAAAAAAATCAAAGCAGCTGCCTCACTGTATTTAATAAAGAATGCCTACGATGCCTGCCAATTGGATATTTTAATAGGAAAAGTCAAGATCTGTGCATACCAAACTTCAATAAGTAAAACTTGTTGAACATACAATATACTTTGTGTTGCTAATGCAGTAGTTCTTAGAAATGTATAATTTAAATGATGAATTTAAGGGATGCTGGCATATCCCATTGGGAACATTTGTTTTATTTTGCTGCTTAACATTTTCTAGCATATTGGGTTTAATTATGGTAGTCTGTTGGGTATCATTTTTGGGGAAAATAAAGGTGTTAATGTCAGTGTAACAGAACTGATAGCAAGAGAAATCGAATAAATGAGTACATTAAAGAATATTACTTATTTCATTTTTAAAGCAATTACATTATTTTGAAATTTGAAGGTATTCTCAACTTGAAGATACAACCTGTCTGCTTTGGAAATTATGCAAATATTTTAATTCATTCTTTAATGGAGCCAAATGTGCAGGAAGCAATTTTGGAGATAATAAATGAGTTTAAATAATTTCCATTAATTCACTTTTTTTCCTGAAGCAATTCATTCTTCATAGTAGACAGTTGCTTTTTGTGTAAGAAAAAATGTACACATTTTGAATCTTAGGCTGTTAGATTTAATGGCTTAAGAAAACAGCATTGTTGGGTTCTGTTTAACTGAAATTTACAGAGGGAGGGCATATGTGTTTGACTATGTGCTGTCCAGAAAAACTGTTTAATTCTCAACAATATGTTGCTTTCTTTTACTGTGTCATACAAATTCTATAAGTAAGTAGTTTATTTATTATCATTTTTTTCTTTTGCTGATTGTTGGTATCTAAACACCTAAAAGAGTACTGACTCATGTATATATTGGTGTTTTAAAATATTTATTTGCAAATGTTCATAGAACACTTAATTTTTTTGATGCAGGTTGCTGAATTATATTTAAAAGCAAATATATATATATATTTAATAAGTGAGAAGTATTATTTTCTTACTGAAATTTATTTTCCAAGGCAAATTTATTTTATACTGTTTCATTTGGGAAACTTTGCTTTCTGTCAAAACAGAAAATAAACCTGTCTTGTAGTCTGGCTACCTAGAAGCCCCTAATGTTAACTTGTACATGTAGGAGGCTTTTGAAATTATTTAATAACATTATTTTTACTTTTGTTTGAATTTAAAAAAAAAATTGAAAGCCATAGCATTTTGTAAGCCAGTTTGGAGTTTCCTGTTGAATAATCAGAGCTACATGTATGAACTTTATAGTTCAATTTTCTATTAGTAAAAATTTTCAGTATCTTACCTCTTTTTTCACCACATTTGAGCTTAATCTCCTGCCTTTCACATTCTCAGCTGTCACAGTTTTACAAAACAAAATGTTTTTAGAAATTGAAGATGTAAGAGTCTGTGTGAGATGAATGTGCCAGTAATATCCTTCTGTTGTTCAACTAGGCATTGGTCCCTGAAAGTGAAATAGATTAAAGCTGTAAAAGCATTTTATCAATACAAATCAAGAAGAAACTGTGAACTTCTTATAATTTTAATATAAGAGCTCTGTTCCCAATGAGTATTCTCTTGTTGATTGTGTTAATGTTTTGTCTGCAATTTGTAAGTTTAATGCTGATATTTGATCTACATTTTCAACATGAAGACAGCATTTCCTGTAGGCTATTTTTTTTAACCATTCAAACGTTTTTTGAAAATAGATGTCATCTTAGAAATTGCATTTTTAAGTGCAAATAAATCATCCCAAATTGCAAGTCAACATGTTTTTTTTTTCATTCCTTAGTATTACAGAATATTCTGCATTATTAAATACATGTTTAAGTTGCCAGGTTTTGTTTTTCAGAATTCTGTATTTTCATATTGTTATAACTAGTTTACCTACAACAT